TGTCTTCACCGCCTTCAAACATTCAAGCTTTATATCATCATTTGTTTTCTTTCTTGACTTGATATGATATTGTGTTCACCATATTCACGGAAGTTTTCGTAGCGAATTTATCACAGGCAATTGAAGAGTACTGGACAAGAAACGAGTTCCCGAGCCGGGTTCCTATACGATGAACTGACTACATCAAGGGAAAGTAAATGCCAGTGTATGGATGGAAGATTGTTCATTTGAATGCATTAGCGCTTTGTTGTTTTTCTATTCTAGGTTACATTGTTATATACTCTACTTTGAAAACTGTATTTTTAATAGCCAATTATATATTTGTAAAAGTTATGTATAAAAAATAGTCTGTGTCCAAATAAATAAAATGCCAAGAAAGTAGAAATTATTACCGAGGTTTAGCTGTTCAACGTTGCTTGTTGTAATTAAGTTTCCCTCGCTGGCAGTTTTTTGTTCGTTTGTTTTTTAAGCAACTTTCGATTAAAATAAAGACTTGAAGGCAACTGAACCGTGACGTCGTGGCTCCTGACAATTTAGTTCACGCGCGTTTAAATTCGTATTCAAAAGAAAAGTTGCAATTTTTGTAAAAAGTCGGCATGTTTACTTGCCGTGACTCCTGTCAATTTAGTTTACAAGCGTTTAAGTTATATTAAGGTTTTCCGATTAAGCGGAAGTTCGCTCCATTCTTCCGTACTCTGGCAGTATATTCAGTTAAGTGATAACATTTTTGTTCGTCAGCTGTTGTTTCGCCAGTCAACTCAGTTGGTTTGGTTTTAACTGAGCTTTTACATATCTTTAAGTTCTCTTTCTTCCAGATCAGAAAACCCTATTCAACTGGAAAGGTGCGATTTAGGCGAACGATCGGTATGCTGGTTTAGGGTGAACGTAAAGTGGTAAGATACTTTTTTTAGCTAGGTGGTTACGTGGTTTGAAATGGGTAAACAAGAATTCAGAATGGCAGCTCAAGTAGTCTAACCATTTTGTTACCAATTACATCTTGTGGACAAAATTATAGACGAGATTTTTATATCCACAGATGAATTAGCTCTCAAAAGACAGCGATCAAAAGAAATCGGCGAAAGTTTTTAATTGAGATTGTTAAACAACCTCAAGCCGCAAAAGCAAACTTGAGAGAACAAGATCTTTAAAGATCGCAAAAAATAAACAAAACAACGGCTCAGGATCTCAAGGGTATTAATGAAAAGACAAATCCGAATTTGTGGAAACGTCGTAGCAGTTATAAACCAGCAGTAGTGAAACATTCTCCACGACTCATGGCCGCGATCGACTCAGTGCTAAAGAGATCTATTGAACAATTTTGGGCAGAATTCATTGATTTTGAAATCACGCGTGTGAGATCATACCTATTGATGTACATGAAAAAATTACGCGCTTCTGATAGGCTGAAAACGAGTGCATTCTCATGTAACACAAGTGTTAAGTTGTAACACGAGTGCAAATTACAAATAGCGCGCTCGCGCTTTCAAAATTTGAATTCGTTTGGCTTGACTTTCCCTGATGTTTTCTCGTGCACATCGTTAAAAAGTTATAACACGATATCTCTTGCAATTTGGTGTAAATAAGCACTTGTAAGTTTTTCAAAGACTAAAAATTGCAATTGCCCTACGGGCTCGTACAATTTTGTTGTCTTCGAAAAATTTACTCGTGCTTATTTACCCCAAATTGCGGTCGAAATCATGTTATTACCCAAAATGCACTCCACTCAGAGCAGTTATACAGTATGTATCATTACATATCTTCATTCCAATGTTCGAGGTCATCACCAATTAATCAACCTAAAGACAACTTTAGGATAATTTTCAGAAATACTGCTATCCCCACCATTCCGCTAACATCGTATTTTTTCTTAACCTTTTGAAAAGGCAAACTGTTTAAACGAAGAGATAAAGGAATTTTCAATATCCGCCATCTGTCGTGAGCCGTTCGCTATCCAACCCTCTGCATCAGCAAGTTACCAGTCTCCTCTCTAAACAAGTGAGCATTTCTTTTACACCAATACATCACCCTCTGCCACCGTAGTATTGCTAATCCTTTGACAGAAAACTCATTTCAGTATGATGTATTCATGAGACTGGTTCGGGGAGGTTTTCCCGGATTACTGGGACTAAACTATATAAAACCTCTATCGTCATCTCATTTGGGATTAGCTCACGTCACGCGCGGCTGGGGTTCTAGCTAAAATGTTCGGCGTGGTGCCTATGGAAACGCCAAAACCTTAATAAAAATAAATCGAAAGAAAAAGTCTTGAGACATCCCGATTCCCACCAAAAGATTTTTTTTAACATCTGAAAAGCAAAACTCGAGAAATCCAAAGAAAGACGAATAATTAGTAGATACAAAAGGGTTTATTATCCAACAGACTCCTTATAGACCTTTCTAGATTAAATCCTGTTTTGTTGATGCGTCGGATCAGAAGCAAATGCTGTTCGATGCGTCCAAGGAAGGGAAAAAGTGCGAGTGTTTTTTTGATTGGCTCATAGCAAGTGACGTGTTAGTCCTTTTCTGTATTTATAGAATAACAGGTAACGTCTGTTATATTGTATTATCACATAAACTGCGGTGTTATATAAGGATTTCCGGCCCTGAGAAAAGCCGTAACAAAACACGTGAAAAAATATCGTATTTTTTCACGTGTGTTGATATAGCCAATCAGCTGCTTACACGTCTCTCGTCTTTGGCGCCATTCGGTCAGGTTGATGAATGAACGGCAAAGCCTTCACGATTCTCAATACAAGTTGTTTGTCGGAGTTTTTCTCGAATTATGGCGGCTAAAACACTAAAAAATACGTATCGCTGGCAGACAATGAGGTTCAAACTTTCCTAGAAAGGGAAGAAAACCAATATACTAAAAGAAAAACCGAAAGTTGCGTATTGAGCGGCTTTGGTGTTAGCATTTCTCTCGTCTGAGACTTCTTCTGTCGGTAAGGACAAACTCAATTAATGAGAATTTTGTAAATTGAAAATTACGACCATTGTTGTTTTTGTAATCATGATTCAACGCATTTTTCCATCTGCGTCAGTGTAATTAATCGTATAGTGCGCCAACGCACTACACGATTAATATTCGAGGATTGTCGATTCATTTATTTTCATTTATTAATGAAGTCAGCTTTTCTTCCCAATAAAGGGCTATTGTGTTAATATGACAAACAAAATAATACATGGTTGCTTGTAGATATGGAATTTCTCTTCTCGTGTTCAACTCGACATCTCAGTCATTCGCTGCGCTCACTCGTGAGCTATCGAGTTAAACACTCGTAGAGAAATTCCATATCTACGCGCGCCCATGTATTATTCTCTATTTCTCACTTTTTGCAGCTGGAAGTCAAGAAAATGAGGTTTACGGTTATGTGGAAGAGCAGTTTTCCGTTGAAGTAGCTATTCGCTGCTTTTTTTTTTTAAAGTAGGAGACGATAATAAACACACCACCAGCCTCAGCCACGGTCTGGTCACTTGCAAAACGTAGACATTGATCCCATTCAATAAATTTACCTCCTCGGTACACATGGCCACATGATTACTAATCAGCCGATCACAATCGTCTTTAGAGCAAGGGAAACCGCGAATGTTTAATGAATCGTATTATTTTGGCCAACGAGCTCTGAAATATTTCGAAATCTAAATGTGTCAAAAGAAATGCGAGGCGCATGAATATTAGCGGAGCATAGCTCGCTCTATGCTCTCGATACAGATTTAAAAGAAAAAACGTCCCGATATTTTCAAGCAGATTTTTGTCACTAAAAAAGCTAACTTCAAAGGCACAAGTAGGTCTTTTAAAAGATGGAAATGCACCAAATCGAACGGGGCATCAAATCCACTTTTTCTTCTTTTTTAATACTCGATAAAGAGGTTTAAATACCTCTGTCACAATAAGGACGGTCATTCTCTTGCGACTCTTTCACAGCTCAGATCTCAAAGCATTGCTTTATAAAGAGTGATGTGACAAAGCGAACCTCTATCGATATGCCATCTTTTGAACCGTACCTTTCATTCTCCTTTACAAAGAAAACCTTTTCTAAACTGAGTTCGCACGTTCGGAAACGTCTGCGCAGACAAATGTTTGCTTAGCAAATGTACAAGACGACACAGTGATCGTATGTAAAAAAACAAATTAACAAAAAGAAAACTGTGATCGTACTTCTAGGCGTACCGTAGGCTTCAAAGCCGATTTTGGTGTTTTGTTAAGCCTTGAAGTAAAGTAATACTCGGTGAAATCTCGAAAACTCTGAACTTTCTCGGCGAGTCATATTTCACTTTTACGCAGCATCAACATGAGTCATTTGCATTTTGATATAGTTGAAGGGAAAGTCCCCGAAGTCTGAATTCTAGTCAAATTATCAACGCAGTTACGTGATGTTATTTTAAAGTAATTTTAGTACCACAGAAAATCGCTGAACTAAGTTAACCTTTGAAATGATCGTTTGTAAAGGTAGACAAACACCAAAGGAATGAAAAGAAACAAACATTCCACTCTCTTGCTTGTAAAAGAAAGCGTCTATTTTAAGTAATGTACTTGCTTATCGAAGCAAATTTTCATGTGATCGTGTTTTATAACTCACCTTCCACTCTCTTGCTTGTAAAACAAAGAGTCTATTTTAAGTAATTTATTTGCTTACTCAAGCAAATTCTCATGTGATCTTGTTATCTACCACACTTTGTTTCTATCATCTGCGGTTTTCAAATATGGATAAAAATCCTTTTTCTTTGTCAACATCTCAGTTCCTCTTAGAATTCTGAGTGGAGTTATTTCATATCTCGTCGAGGCGAGCTTGGTGAATATTTATTTGCATTTTAGACCGGTAAAGGCAATTTATTTGAAAAGTAATCATCAATGACGTTGTTTGTATCTTTTCAACCTTTTTTGGTTCGCTAGGCCGCATTGAAAACTCAGTCTGGAGACAGAGTACTAGACATTTATTTAAAGAACTTCTACATACATAAGTGTTAGATTCTCTTCTGTGGAGAAAACCTTTCAGCCAGCAAAATATTTAAATAACTTTATACAAGCATTCTATCCTACGCTTTTCAAATCGTGAAAGTTAATCATGTGCAAAGCGCGTGATATTCACTTTTTTTTAGTTAAGTAGATCAATTGTGTCACATCTTAAATCATAAAACAATAACATAGTTCTTCCCGTTTGCAAATTACACACTTCTGAATAACTGGTGTTTAGAAGAAAAGCTATGGCGTCATTTCTCAGAAATTAAAGTTCATGGATCCGTCGAGAGAGATAAAGAAAAAGTTTGGCAATGTATTAAATGAGATAAGAGGCACATTTCTTATAACTCTTCTACGACTGAATTAGAGCTTTCATGACAAATTTAAAAGAATAATAAATCCAGAAACCACCTTTCGCCTTGACATAAGGTTAGTCTTTTCTACTTGAACATTTCTGTTCCGTTTCACTGGCGCTTGTTTCACCGCTGTCATCATTGCTGGAGGCTTCAGACTCGTTGCCAAAAGGAGACTTTACATTTTCTCTGTGTGGAATATCGTGACACAGCTGGTCAAGGAAATCGATACGCTCTTCAAGCGAAGACAGCTCAGTGGTGAATTCATGATGCTGAGCAATTTCCAATGCCTCTTCGGCGGTTTTCTTGGCTAGTGGGTACATTGCCCTTCCCTGTCGATAATACTGATCAGAGCGGGTTTTCAAAATCTGCACTCGCGTTCCTCGAGGAATAACATCAGCTAGTTGGTGCTCCAAAATATCGAGATGTTTTACTGCCTCTGCAATATCTTGCGGGGGAATGACTTTTATTCGTTTTCGTGCCACAGTTGATGTACAATCGAGTAAAAGAGTTGCTACTCGAAGGTGCCCATATATTTGCTTCTTAACTCGCACTCTCTCTCTGGGATCCTTCTTGCCCGCTTCAATTGTGTTTTCGAAGTATTTTTTTACCATCCTCTTGTATTTGTTTCGTGCTTCCGCATTTCTCTCGTCATCTGGAATCGTACTCATATGCATCAAATAAACTGAACCATAGTTGTAATAAATCTCAGCCAAATCCTCCGGAGACTCGTGGTTTTGCAGCAAGGATTCGCCTCTTTCGAGACACTCGAGGAGAAGCGGAAGTTTTTTGCTATTTTTATATCTACAGGCCTGCACGAACCCATAGTAGGCTCGCGCTAATAAAACATTTGGATTGCGAAGCTTGGAGGTAGAGCCAAGTTTTATCGCCAAAGAGAACAGCTGCTTGCTTTTCTTTAAGAATTTTTTCTGGTAAGAAAAAGCCACTGCGCGTTCTATCATCATTGCCATTTGCATGTCAATGTTGCCTTCCCGCTTAAAATGTATCATGAATGGAGTAACCAAACGATCGTGTTCCTCAAACCGTCCATTGTCTTGTAAACCTACAAGGTGCTTCATGATTTGCTCGCATTGTTCTCCTTTGAGATACCCTGTTCTTTTTATAATTGGCAACTGCGGCTCGATGTCGTGAACTGAGGTTAGAACTTTGCAGCCTTGTAAATCATCGAACGCTTGTACTGGGCTCTCAGTTTTACCCCTTTGTGTCTCGCCACAGTTGCCTTCCTTCGGGCTGCTATCACATTGAAGCCCGCCGTCGTTGCAGCAAAAGCTACGGCTTACTTGTTCTGTGTTCGACTGGCCGACTACAACGACGCTGCATTTTGCGAGTGTTAAGTTCATAGTATTTCGGTCGATGTCAACTTTAGCTTGAGAGATCAAGGAGGCTGAATCTTTTGGAGGAAAACTGAATAACAAGCCCTCAACATCGTGACATGATGGCCGTCCACGTTCTGTGAGCTGTTTTGAAAAATCATCAGCGGGGTTATGTGTACAATTCATTCCTATCAGAATTTCCTAGTACGTTGTTGGCGTCAATATCGAGGTAAAACCTCTTTGACTTTTCCCTTGTATGTATGGCTTGAACTTATTTGATTCAGTTACAATATGCGTCTGGGTTAAACCAGACTCCAGACGTTTCTCAGTGATATTTCCTCGAGGACTTGGAGTTGTTTACTCCTGTTTAAATATTCATGCAGTGCTTCGATTGTGTGCTGATTTATATGGAAGCCAATGTTTTGATCATTCTCCTCGACAGAAGAACTTGTCGCAAAGAGGGTTCTATAAGTAAGCTTGAAAGCAACGACTTTCTTGCCCGTCAATACAACAAAATGATTTTGTTGCATCAGAGAGTTGAACTAATATTTGCGTGGAAGCTGAGCCTCGAAACCAAAGACGTAGGGAAAGTCCCTTAAAAGATCTTGGCTTTGTACTTTGTACTTTATACTTCCGGTTCCATGGTTTGAATGTCGAATACGGATAACACATTGAAGTGTTTTTGACAGTTGCTATCCACCATTGATCGAAGTTTAAGAAAAGTAAAGGTCGGTCTAAGAAGTGACCCGGTTTCCAAGTGGAAATTGCTTCAATTTAAGGTTACAAGAAAGTTACCCGCTTTTTTAAACGACTGTATGTATTTACAGTTTTCCTTCACAAACGTACCGCTTTCATTTTGGAGTAAAGGGATAATCTGATTGATCTGTTTTTAAATTTACACTAACTAGAATTGATAACACCAAAATGACTACCGGTCGCTTTTCGAGTGTTAAATGAGCCAAAGCTTAAAAGGATTTCCAGCTACCTTAATATTCTCATCTGTTTGGTTAAATAATAATCCGCAGGGTCACCTGGATAATGGTAATCTGGTTGAAATACCTAATCCACCGAAGTTTCATCCTTAATTAAATACAAATATGTCATCCAAATTCGTTTATCTTTTATGAAAACTACATGACTTCAGAGTAAATATTATCTGAACCCATACAAAATTTGGGCGTAATTTTTTTAATTCAGTGTCAATATTTATCTTGTATCCGAAAAGGGATTTGTTGTTACAAATCACCAATGTTCTACAGAAGAAATTTGCAGATTTCAATTTATAATTTTTCATGTCTATTGTGAGTCACTTCCGCTGTTATTGTAGCCGGTGTCGCTGCTGGAATGATCATGTCCTTCGATAACAATGTGGTCGGGTGTTTGGAGTTTGTTGTCAAGGAAGTCGATTCTTTCACGGAGGGTTTCCAATTCTGTGTTGAATTGATGGAGGTATGCAAGCTGATAGGCATCCTCGGCTCTTTCTTTGGCCAGACGGAATCGTCCCTGACGATTAAGTTGATCCGATTGGGTTTTAAAGAGTAGCATCAATGTTGCCCTAGGTATACTGCCACCGAGTTTGAACTGGATGATTTGAAGGTGTTCGGCTTCTTCAATGTCACTGGGTGGAATTGGTTTTTCTTGAGCCAGTGTAAGGTTGAAGAGCTATCTAGGAGTATTGTGGCAAGCTTGAGGTGGGCATACATTTGCCTTTTAATCCTAACTCGCCGGCGATTATCTTGTTGGCTGAAATAGATAGCTTTCGTAGAATAATATTTTGATTTTTCTCGAGCGGCGTTTCGTGCACGTGCGTTTCTCTCGGCATTTGTTATTTGGCTCATACGATCCAGCCAAAGAGCACCGTAGGTTTGGTAGAGCTCAGATAAGTCCTCTGGTGAGCCATAATTTTGCAGTAGACATTCGCTGCTTTGAAGATATTCCAAGAGCAGGGGAAAGTTTGAATTTCTGTACTCTTTATTTCTTCTCATGTGAGCCGCGAGTAAGTAGTAGGCTCTTGCCGTTATAATATCTGGATACGGAGCTCGACTCTTTAGGTCAGATTTTGTGACTGAAATAAGCTTTTCCTCAGCTAGTTTCCATTGACCTTTGTAAGAGAGAGGAGCTGCTTGCTCTATCTCCAAGACCAACAGCATGTCAGCATTTTTTTCTCCTTCATAAAAATGCATTGCCCCTGTGATGAGGCTGTCGTGTTCATCGAAGTGTCCGTTATCTTGATAAATCTCGAGCTTTTCCAGGAGCCGCTCGCACAGGCCATGCTTTCCACTGAGATCTCCTTCTACCTTGATTGGGGCCATCGGTATTTTAACACTTTTAATAATAATTTCACCTGAGTCAGCTTGTTTACAATTTTGTGTTGCACTCAAAGGCTGATCTAGTTAGTCTACCAGTCCTTTTGCTGTCTGGTTGAGGATGTAATTTGCTCCCTTTGGACCGCTGTCTGATCTAATCTCGCCTTTGTTGAAAACCTGTTGTTGACATTCGACTTTTTCTGTCACTCTCTTTTGTTGCTCACTACAATCATTAGAGTCGGGTTCTTTTGGATCACTTCGCACTGAAGCCTGCGTTGGTCACAGCAATGATTACGTCTTACTCGCTCTTTGTTTGACTGGCCAACTAAAATCATGCTGCAGTTTGCGACTGTTACGATCAAAGTATTTTGTGTTAATTTTGATGACAAGTCTTTCCCTTCGTAAGATGATGGCTGTCCATGGTTAGTGAGTTCTTTAGAGCGATCTTTAGCGGTGTTAGATGTAGATGCCATTTCTGTTTTGCTTCGTGGTTTGTTGTCGACTTTGATATGTCCGAAATGCTTCGCTGATTTCGTAGCTATTTCCTTCGGGTGTAATTCAACAAGGGCTTGCGAGTTCCTATTTCAAAATTCATAAAGACTGTTTTGATCTGTTTGCAGGCGAGGGTTTCCTGGAATTGTGGTCGAAAAAGCAACTTCCATCGAAGAGATCCTTCAATATCCAATGTTATGTAAGGTAGATGCGGGTTACCAAGAAAGAGATATTTCTGAAAAGAGGTCGAATACTCTGTTTCGGCGATGAAGGTTGTTTATGTTTTTTCCCGACAGCACTATAAAGATATTCTGTTCCGTTTATGAGAGCCAACGGTTTTCGTCGAGAGAATCCCAAGAATTAGTTAAATTAGAGGGTTTAATTCTAAGTTATATCTATAGGAGGAAGCCACACTTAAGCCTTCTCGGTTGTTTCTATTGTCGGGTGGGATAATGGCTGACGATTGAATATATATAGAAAAGTGCTCATATTTATAGAATATGCATGATATTATTGTCATTGTTCGCTTGACCCTAAGCACGATTGAAATTGAAATAGTAATTTCGCTGTCACACATTATAGACGACCACTTGTACCTTGTCGAAAAAATTATCACCGACCATTATTGAAATTGTAGTGAAAAGAAAGCAAGCGAACAGATAAAATTGAGGATAACTTCACCGACTCTTTTTTTCCGTAGTCAGCTACAAGTAAAAAATAGGCTCTTGCCGTTAAAATACTAGGATTCATAACATCACAATTTTGTGTTTTTTCTGATTTTATAACCGCGATAAACCAACGTTTGCTGTTTTTGAATTCTTTTCGGTAAGAAAAGGCCACTCCTCGCTCCATTTTCAAGGCCAACTCCATGTCCGGATTTTCCTCATCTGCAAAACGTCGAATACAGGCGGTAACAAGGCGCTCATGTTCAGCAAACTTTCCTTCGTCCTGCAGAAGCTCAAGTTTTTTCAAGATTCTCTCGCACTCTTGTCCGTTTAGATATCCATGTTTTTCGATCAAAGGCATTAGTGGGTCAACACTGGCAATGAAAGTATCGCGCCACTCAGTCTGTGAACGTTGTTGTGTATCCCCAAAAGTTTGAAGCTGGCAGGCTACCAACTCCGCTGGTCGCTTGTGTTGGTCTAGAAGGCTGCCCTTTGTCTTTAGAGCAGAGTGATTGTACTTCACCCCCGTTGGCACGTTTTGTTTCCCCTTTAAGGAAGGTGTGCTCCTAGTTAGGCTGCTGCTGTTTGGCGAGTGATTGTTGGACTATGACCAGACTCCTCTTTTCGATCCTTAAGTTCAAATTTCTTGGTTCTGTGGCCTTGTCAGAAACTGAGATCGAATTCTCAGAATACAGTGTGTTTCCATTGTTACCAGCCTCACATCTTCTTCGTTCCAGTTCCATCGGTAGCATTTCAACGGTTTCGTTCGATGAACACTGCTCTGTAGACTGTGTCTCATTACTACTCATCATGAACAAATACTTTCCTCTCGCTCTTTCGTTTGTAATCCCTCGCAGTTTCTTTCTTTATACCAAATGAAACGCCGGAAGACAGGGAACATTGAGTTGTTTACAATGACAGACAAGTTTGAATTCAAGCCAACGTCTCTTTCTTTAATCTCGTCGACGCAAGTAGGTCCTCGACATATTTATGTGGTATTTTCCACGCAGTAAATTGGAACAGAAAATCATCAATGTTTTCGTCAGAGTAAAGACGAGACTAAATTATAGGCCTTCTCAACCGTGGCGGTAACAACATGAAGGCAGCTGAAATAATGAAATATTCATGATTCCGAGAAAGTACTACAAGTACGCCTGCCAGCTCGAACGCTGAAGACCACGACGCGAAGCGGAGTGGTTTCCAGCTTATCGAGTGTTCTCCCAACCTCCCAAGTGTTTACATCAGGCTATGTAAACACGGAAACCATTTTACATTTCTTCACTACCAATCTTCTAATTCAGCATTGAGCACACGTCACGCATGTGATAAAGTACCGAAATTTGTCATGTGTCCCCTTTGCCCTTTACTTCCCCTTTTGTTACCGTCGTCATGACTACAATCATTGAGAGGCGTCCATTCAGTAACCCAAATTAAAAACTTTGCCATCGTCGGAACAGATTCTGTTACCTTTAAGGTGCAGAGAAATCAGATTGATGGAGTGATATCCTCAACTATCGCTTTAAGGGATTAGAAATGTTGAAATGTTTTGCAGTTTTCTGAATTCAAGCAGCTGCTGGATATTTTCTTAGTTTCAGTCTTTGAGGAGCTTGAACAAATTTACATGAAATTTTGGAGACATTTTGAAAGTGTTTATTTAATTTTGCAAATTTCTAACGATGGATTTAGAAATAATCGCACGATTTTGAATGATTTCATGGACGTCATATCACGTCATCAGCACATACTGATACTTCGTCACTGGTCTGGTTAAACGCACGATGGGTCCAATAGCCATTCTGTCCTTGTTTCTAACGCATTCTAACGACAGCAATTTATGTAACTGCTCTTGATTACCAGTGTGCGATGAATCTTACAGTGTCCGCAGCAAAACGAGATTTCTCTTCTGTCCGTTTAAGTCTAAAGTTTGTTCCTCTGTAAACTAAAATCCGGCTCATATGGTAGTAGAAATAAGGTTGTCACTTTCATTATCTTCCACGTCATCCTCACTGCCAGTATCTTCATTGCTTCTTAGACATTTTACTCAGCTTCCTATTTCCAGTTCTGAATGCGTCCTTCCACTGACTGCGGAGTCACCATCAGAAGAGTCTACGTGGTCGGATACCGTTAGGGAACCAGTGTTTATTGTCCCGTGAATAACTTCTTCTTCACTACCCCAAAAATAACCACACTTGTCATGGAGAATGGCAGAAAATTTTCCAGTCGCTCCACGACTATTGAGGCCCTCTCACAGATATGCTTTGACGTTTTTTTAAAAAAAGTTCGTTTAAAAGTATATTCGATTGAGAAGACAATTGGAACTCCGGCGACATAGCCAGATACTCAAACGTTTCTAATTTTAATAGTTCAAAACAAATATTTATTTATATCACACCAGGAAATAATGTTTTCATCTTTGACATCTATCTGATTAGTAATCATTATATAGAGTAACAAGTCTCTCTCGATCTGGCTAATCAGGATGAAAGTGTCGTCATTACAACACGGAAAACCAATAGGATTCAGTTACATGAGTCGTAGACCATTAAA